TCGCATTTGAATTAGGGAATCTACATGCGTAACTCTCATTAACACAAATACAGTAGAAGCTAAGTGCCTAAATTCCTGTGCAGAGAAAAGAGAAGTGGTTATATTTCCTAATCCACTGTGAGGCATGGCCTCCTATATTTGAGTTGGAATTTTCATAACTGTTTAATATTAGTGTGTGAGTTGTTCTAGAGAGAACCAATATCGAAGCAGAAAGTAGTACTCTATCTCCGTAAAGCAGTTTAGCAGCATGGAGAGAAACAGACTACCAGATATTTATTTGGAATTAGCTAGCTAGCTACAATATGTTTACATATTATGTGTTTATTGGTAGATACTATTGTAATTGGCAAGGCCACTATATATCTTTATCTTTGCTCTATTTAGAATAAGTCAGCATTTCCTTTCATGGTAACATTTTAGATCTAGCAATATCCACTAGTATAAAAAACATTCTCTGATCAAAACAGTTGTTCTTAAATATGTTAGTTCAAAGATTACATGGCATGTCAATGATTATGTAATTATGGGTCTTTTCATTTAATTTGTAATTGTTTCAGTGATGAATAAGAATACGATGACTTATTTAACTTCTGGGGGAAAAAAGAGTATAAATAATATCACTATGCCCTATATAATTTTCACAAATTATCCACCAGTGATAAATAATATACAAGGGTTGAGTATTGAACCAAACACTACCACCTAAATTATTTCTATGCATCGCCAGAATAATAGCCTTTTATTTAAGTTATCTGAATGGAGTTCTGAACTTCCAATCTCCTTTTAAGCCCATGCTAAGACCTAAGATATTCTGGATGGAAGATGTGGGAATGGATTTAATTAGGAGACTCACAAGGACGCAAAAGTGTTGGTGAGGCTTGGGTAAATTATTACAGCATAAACAGCTAACTTGAAACACATGGAAACAACTACTTGTTTGATTTGAACTCAAGAATGAATAGAGACTAAATTTTAAATTCTTCACTTGTTTTTCATCTATCACTCACTGCATGTTATCAGATATTTATTAGGTTCAGAGACTCATGTGCCTGGTATGGACTTTGTTAATCAAGACCATACTTCTATCATCATTGGAGATATTTATGCTGTGTCAACACTAAACACTCACACATATATGACACAAAACATATGGTTTGGCTGTGCCGACACTCAGGACATGTGCTACCAAACAAGTGATTTAACAGCATGATATAAAACTGAAACAATAAACTGACCCAGGAATATTTTAACTTCTGACACAGAACAACTAAGCAAACATTACTGACAATAATTCCCATCACCACCATCCATTTTTAAGCATGTGCTCCTTGCCAATCTATATACTTTACATAGGCACTTTTTAACCAAATCACAGAGAGGTTATGTTACTTGCCCAAAGTAAATGGCTAGTAAATAAAACTGCTGAAATTGGAAAGCAGTTTAATGTTTGTTGAATTATTTGAGTGCATGACTAAATCAATAAGTGATCCTAAAGCCATATTTCTTAACCGTACATGATCATTCTAGGTTTACCAGTCAGGCCTGATTAGGTGGTAAGGAGAAACCTGAATGTATAAATACTAGGTTTATTTATTATGTGAGTCCTTTTGAGTTGGTAAAGAAACTTGTTACTTATCACTTGGAGGTCTCGGCTAATGAGAACAGGGTCATGGCTAGAACACAGGTTTTCTGGACTACCGGTCCATTGTTGCATCCATCTACCACCATCTCACTTCCATCCTGTGACACCTATTACATTGAAACAGCCACCTTCTCCTAGGAGACCCTGCAGCTATCCAGACCTTGAGTACAGTTAAAGAATCATAAAACACACCTTTTGTATCTCCTACCGTAAGATAGATTTTGCTGTTTTTTTTCTCTCTCCACATTGTAACGCTGATTCTAAATCAACTATTCAAGTCAACAAACATTTATCAAATATTATTAGCTGGTGTGGATGATGGTAATGAAAACACCCACAATTCTTAGTCTTGAGAAGCTTCCAATCTAGTTGTGGGAAAGGATGTACACACATAACTTTATAGTCACTACGACAAGAGAGCAGGAAAAGCTTTCATAAAAGATGTAAGATATTATGTGGGTTAAGATACTGGGGAGGCAATATCACAATATCTTTGACACTGGTTATGTTTCTGATACGTTTACTCATCATCCTAACAGCCCATAAGAGGTATTCCCCGTTTCAGATGTGAAAACTCAGACTATGTCAAGTGACTTTCCAGAGTCACATGGGTATTGCAGTAAGTAGTAGAGCTAGGATTTTAACTTGAGGAGCTGGATGCTTGGATATAGACTTTTAATCACTATGGGACAGTGCCCAGGGTTCAGATGCCCGGGCTCCTGAGATCTAGCTTACCCTGGTTTGAAGCCTGGTTCTGCCACTTACCGGTCATGGGGAAAACTTACTTTATCTCTCTTCATGTTCACATCTATAAAATAGTACTTACTGGGGTTTGAATGGCCAACTACAATTGGGTAGTTACCAGAATTAGACCAACTGGCTGGCCACTAAGAAGATACTTACTGTGGTGGGCTCACTACCCTTCAGGGGCTGTTTCCCTGACCGCATCCCATTGCTGATCAAACACAGGGAGACTCTCTCATAAGCACAGACTCTACTGTGTCCAGTCACCACGTGGGGAATAGATTAAATATTGCTGGGCTACTGCTGGCTTTGAAGATGAAGGGACAGAAAACCAAGGAGTGCAGGCAGCCCCAAGAACCAGGAAAAGGAAAAGAAATAGAATTCCTCTAGAAACCTAGAAAGTAAGGCAGACCTGCTGACACGTTTTTAGCCTGGTGAGATCCATTTTGGACTTGTGAGCCCCAGAACTGAAGGAGAATTAATTTGTGTTGTTTTAAGCCACGAAGCGGAAGTCATTTGTTATAGCAGCAACAGGAAACTAATACAAATGCCAGGATCATTCCCATCTTAGAGCATTTTCACGGTTGCTCACCAGTTGTTCCCTCTGCCTAAAGTGCTCATCTCCAAGACATTAGCATCATGGACATTTTCCCCACCAGGGGTTGCAGTGGGGTCTCTGCTTAAATTGCACCCCTTTAGAAAGACTTTCCACTCACAGTAGCCTCCTTGTTACTGTATCATGTGGCCCGTTTTATTTTTATCATAACACTCATCACTCCTTGTTACTTTTCTTTTTATGCCATTATGGTATTACCGAGGAAAGCTGATCTTGTCTCTCACTGTTCCTTGTAACTCCAGTATTCTAGAAGAATGCCCAGCGTGAAGTCGGAGCTCAATATGTATTTGTTGAATAAATGAGCATTTGTTCTAGGCAAGGCAATGCACATACACTGTCCCAAAGACTCTTTTCAACAGCCTCACGAGATAGCATTCCCACCACCATTTTGTTAAACATAAAGCCCATGAGAGCAATCATAAGGTGTACTGTGTTCTTGGCACATAGTAAACATTCATAAATATTCTAAGTATTGAGTCACAAAGAGGCTGAATAGCCAATGGAACACAGTTTAAAAGAAAATACTTGCTACATTGATGCCTGTAGTTTTCATAACGTTGTTGAAGAACCCCAGAGTTACAGCAACTCCATTCTCATGAGCTCAGGCCTCCATTCCACCTGCCTTCTGGACATCTCTATTGACAATCCCCACCGGCCTTGAACACAAGACATAAACTGAATGTGTAACCTTGTGTCCAAATCTACTTTGCAGACTCCCTGGCTGAGTGGATGGCACTGGCATCTATCGGACAGATTCTGGGAGTCATCTCAGACTGGTTCACCATTGCTCTAAAGATGACCATCATTTTTTTTAAATTCTTCCTGTTTAACAGTTCTTATACAAATTGCCTTTTCCTGCTCCATTGACTTAGTACTCCTGCCTGGACTCTTTGTCCCTCTGCTTCTAAAGTCACCTCTCCAGAAAAACGAGACATGCCATCACTAGCTGGTTTAACATCCTTCTGTGGCTTCCTATAGTATTTAGTGAACTCCAAGTCATTTACCACAAGAGAAGTCACACATGATCTGTACCCTGCCTAGCTCTCCACCCTTCCCACATCCCTGTCCCTTCACTAACTAGTCTAGCTACCCTGGTCTTTGAAGTCCATGGTGTCAAGCTCTTCTTTGCTGAGCAGTAACTTTCTCCCACCTGCCTGGCATCCTTTAGATCTCAGGGAGGCCCTCCCCATCTAGATGATTTGTAACATCCTGTTCTTTTTCTCTGTCAATTTGTAATTATATATCTGTTTACATCTGTCTCCTCTTCAAGACTATAAGCTCCTGAGGGCAAGGTTTTGTGTCTTTTTTGGTCCACAACTGAATGAGCAGCACTGAGCCACACCTACCTGGCACACAGTAGGGGCACATTAAATATTTGTTCAATAAACAAACACAATATTTATTAAAGAATGTGTATCATATGTCTTTTAGAGAAGCATGCTTTATACCGTCTGGTTGGCATGATTTCAAGTGCAGTGGCATGGGTAACAAAAAGAAAAATTGAGGTGAAGAGGCCAGGCACAGAAAAAATGACAGGGGGAAAAAAAATGAGCGAGAAAGAAGTGATAGAATTAAAGAGAGCAATGGAGAAGTCTGTGGATGACACTGTGTAAGTTTCCTAGGGTGGCCTTTACAAAGTACGACAGGCTGGATGGCTTAAAACTACATTTATTATCCCACACTTCAGGAGGCCAACGTTCTGAAATCCAGGTGTCCGCAGGGTTGACTCCTTTTGAAGGCTCGAAGGGAAAATCGTTCCATGCCTCTCTCCCAGCTTCTGGGGGTTGTTTCCAAGGTGAATCCTTGGCTTGTAGACACATCACTCCAATCTCTGCTTCCAGCTTCACATGACTTTCTCCTCTTCTGTCTCTTGTGAGTCTTTTTTTTAAAAAATATATTTTATTGATTTTTCACAGAGAGGAAGGGAGAGAGATAGAGAGTTAGAAACATCGATGAGAGAGAAACATCGATCAGCTGCCTCCTGCACATCTCCTACTGGGGATGTGCCCGCAACCCAGGTACACGCCCTTGACCGGAATCGAACCCGGGACCCTTCAGTCTGCAGGCCGACGCTCTATCCACTGAGCCAAACCGGTTTTGGCCTCTTGTGAGTCTTCATGTGCATGACCTTCTTACAAGGAAATGAATCATTGGATTTAGGACCCGTCTTAATCCAGTATGACTTCATCTTAACTAATTACATCTGCAAGACTCACTTTCCAATAAGGTCACCTTCTGAGGTTCCAGGTAGACATAACTATGTGGGGAACAATATTCAATGAATTTGAAAAAAAGGATATTTGCAGATTAATCAAGGATCTTAAAATGAGGTAATTCTAGCTTATCTGGGTGGGCACTAAATCCAATGACAAATGCCATTAGGGGGCACACAGAAAATGAGAAGACACAGAGAGAAGAGGAGGCAATATGAAGACAGAGGCAGAGATTGGAGGGATGTGGCCATAAGCCAAGGAAGCTAAGTAATGCCACCACCGGAAGCTGGAAGGGGCAAGAAGGGATTCTCTGCCCAGAGTCTCCAGAGGAAGTGCAGCCTGGCCCACACCTTGACTGTGGGCTTCTGGCTTTCAGGGCTGTGAGAGAAGAGAGTTCTGTTATCTCAAAGCCAGTTAAAGGTACTTGTTACAGCAGCCATGGGAAATTAATCCACGCCTTCACATAACAGAATTCACAGTGTACTGAATTCTTTTCCTTTAAGTAACCATTAAAAAAACAAAACAAAACAAATAAAAAACCCTTTCAGAGCTAGATTCCGCTCCAAACAGATCGAAGAGTTCTTGGGAAGTAAGGATTTGTGAACAGTCATAAAGTTAAAGTGGCTCAATTTCTGTAAGCATCACGTTTAATGATCTTTTAATGTAAGGGCATGCCTTCCATGACTGAGGTACATGACTCTTTAACCTAGAAAGAAGTGACTCTAATAATTGTGCTGCAAACTATCTTTCATGTATGCCCACTTCCCTTGTGCCTGCCTAATAATTAACATCAGATTTTATCACACCTCCTGTGCTTTCTCTTTTTAGATTTAATGTTAAGTTCTTTTTATCTTGAGGTTCACTTTTTGTTCTTCTGCCTGATGTATAATTAGGTGACGCTGCATGCTGTGCAACCTTCAACTGCTGCCACAACGCATCAGCCGGCTTAGTTTTTGGACAGCAAGCCATGTTATCAAGATGAATTACTACAGGGAAATACAGGGTGAGTCTCTTTGAGTCTTTGACTACATTCAGAGTTAAAATCTGGCATCACTGAACCACCCCCGAAGCCCCTTCCAAACCTCAAGTTCCACAGTTAACCACGGAACCATTCGGGACCGGACTCGTTCCAAAACGTCACACAGCATTTTATTTCTTTGTTTGGGCGCGTAAGGGGGAGGCGTTGCGGTCCAGCAGGGTCTACGGGTGGGCGGTCGTCCATGAAACTGCCCATGTCACTGGCGGCCAGGAAACACCTGCAGGTAGAAACTGGGGGACAGGCTCCAGCACGCGGGGCGATGGAAGTTAAGACCCCCCCCCCCCCACACACACACACATTCTCTACTCCGCCGGCCCTTCACCTCTTTGCCTCGGGGTCCCTGAGCCCCTCCCTGGTGGTCCTGTTTCCCCAGAAGAAAGATTTGGCCCCCGCCCCTTGCGGTCCTCCCACTCCCGGCAGGTGTAGGCGAGGGGGCTCCGGGCTGAGCGCACGCCGCAGGCGACAGACCTCGCGGACTCCGGCGGACGGACGCCGGAAGGAAGGGATCCAGCGAAGTTGGGCGTGGGCTGGGCGCCCAATTTTCTACCCACCGGCGCGGCTGACGCCTCCCCTCCACTCCCCCCCGCCGCCACGCCCCCCAGGGAGCGGCTTTTCCGCGCCGACACCGAAGCGCGTCCGACTCCCGGCTCCGGCCGGGAACTGGGAGGCCGAGTGGCCCCGCCCCCTGCGCACACGTCAGCGCCGGCGTCGGGGAACCGTCGTAATACCCTGAATAAGCGCGCCCAGCCAAATCCGCTGCACCCCGCCGTAGATGCCGACAGACACATTTCTGATCAAGCCCGCGGCGGCCCTTCCCGCCGTCTCGGGGCGAAGCGGAAGAGAACCTCTCCGTAGATGTGTTCCAGGGGCGCTGGCGGCTGTGCCTACAGGTTTGTTGGAGAAGGACCCTCGATTAGCTGAGGTGGTTGTGGCGCCTTCCGGCTCTCCCCGCCCCAGTCATCCCTAAGGTTCCGCAGGTCTTACAAGTGGCGAGTCCGTCAGCCCCACCCGGCGGGCAGCCTCTTTTCCCGGCCCGCCCGCGCCGGCCCGCCTGGCCCAACGGTCCGCTTCGGAGCCTTCGCGCACGGGAGAGGCGGCCCGAGCGGCGCCGGCGGGTGCGCGTCTATCCGGAGGCGCGTGGTAGTGATGGCGGCGCTCAGTGAGGCTTTGCTGTCACTGGATACTACTACTCCCAGCCCTCCGCGAAGCCGCCCGAGCAGCCCCCGGGTCTCCCGTTTACAAGTAGCAATTTGACTTGCTCTGCTGCATGTTAAGAGGGACGGTGGAAAGTGTGCGGACGCCCCCGGGATTCAGCGAACGCAGCTCCAAAAGGAAAAAAGGCAAACAAGTAAACAAAACCCACCCATCCTGACAAACATGAGGCTGCTGGAGAGACTGAGGAAAGAATGGTTCATGGTCGGGATCGTGCTGGCGATCGCCGGAGCGAAGCTGGAGCCGTCCATCGGGGTGAACGGGGGTAAGTCCGCGCCTCCGCGCGCTCCGCTTCGGAACTCCCGGGCGAGTCTCGGAGAGGAGGCGGGGGGGGGGGGGGGTGGCCCGGTCCTCGGGGAGCGCCTGCCTCTGTCGGGGGGCCCCGCCCCGCCCAGGTGCCCTCCGGCTCGGGGGCCCTTTGGCTGACGTTTCCGTTGGCCGACCCCAGAGGGGATCTGTCGTGCAGAACGGGGCCAGCGACTTTGAACGCGGGCTCCCTTCCCCGCGGACAGCCAGTGAGTCTCCTCGGTGCCGAGGAGAGAGGGGACCGAGACTGGGATGAAACTTCTCCTCCCTGCCGAGCAGCACCCTGTCCCGCGATGCTGGGGTGCCCGCAGTTCCTGGTCTGTCTCGGAGTGGGCACCATGACCTGGTGCATTTCCAACCCTCCCCCCTTAAAAAAAAAAGTAGGGGGAGAGAAAGAGGCAGGGGCACCCCTTCCTCCTGCAGCCCCGGCTTTGCGGCCCACCGGCTGGGGGATGCGGAGCAGCGGGGGCGGCTCCCCAGCAGCTCCCGGGCCCAGTGACACGTCGCACACTCTCCCGACGGGACGCCGCTTCCGCGTGCGGCGGGCGGGCGGGTGGCTGCACCCCGCCGTGGTCTCCAGGCGCAGGCTGTGTGGGGCTCTGTGCAGTGTGGGTTTTGGCGAGAAATGTGGGCGGGCCGAGCCACGCTCGGACCCCGAAGAGTGGGAGCCTTGTAGTGCGGGGAGAGGCATGGCTGGCCGCGGCTGGAGACATCATTAGCCTTTTATGCCCCTTAACCGCCCCCCTCTCCTTCCCCCCATCATGTCCTACTTTTCATAAGCATGCATTGAATTCCTTCAGTGTCCTGTCTTTTTGACCTTGTTTGCCAGTTTCCAGGCTCATTGACGGGATTAATACATCAGTCATACAACAGGGACAGATAAGGAGAGAAGTGGGCGCAGGCGATCTTTCTATGGTCGGAAGTGCTCAGGAGCATATTTGGAGTTATTTGCTCCTTGTTAAAGCATGATGGGGGGGTAACATGATCTCTCAGGAGGACCGTGGTTCCTTCTACCCTCTGCCTTCCGTACCTCCGTTGAGAAGTCGCTTCAGGGAACATTGAAAAGGAAGGACTTGAACAAAGATTGGGGGGATTAACACTTTTTTTTAATGTTAGAAATGCCGGTTCCCATTTTCACTAGTCCTTATGCCATCAATCTAGGATAATGCATTGTTTTTGTTTAATTTCCAAAGAGTAGGATGTGAAGCGCTCCAAGGGATCTTTAAAGTATTTTAAGCCAACAGGCTTCTTTCGCAGTTGAAGACCCTGAGGCCTGAGATCAGGTGACTGACCCTAGGATGAGTGAGCTAGGGAAGTGGAAGGACTGGAGACCAGGACTCCCCCTTATCTCATACCAGTTGCAAAATCCATACACATTTTCGTGATGAACAATCATTAAAAATGCATAACCGGTATAAAGAAGGAGCTCTCTGGAATAAAGACATTTTCTGTGCCCTGATTTTTAGCCCCAAGGAGCAGACCAGAATCCACTAGTATTAGATAACAGTTAAACTTCTAGGGTTTCTTTGGTAGCTGTCCATGTGTGAAAGTTACTTTCTCTAAAACCAAAAGTTAAGCAAACAATTATATCGGCTGTCAGGCTAAGTTCTTGTTACTTCTGTTGAACTTCTGATTGACCTTAAAACCTCTTAAATAAAAATAAACCTCCAAATATTGACAAGGAACACTTTCACTCCACTAGTTAATCCAACAAAAATCTGGGAACAAGGAAAGGAATGGTTGCTGAAAATGTTTCTGTCCTATTCTGCTCTTTAGATTGGTCTAAAGCACCTCTTTTTGCTTCTTACTTTTAGTCAGAGTTTCCATTTATGGGCTCAGTCCATTGATGAACAATTTTCAGAACAGTTTTCTAGATATTATTTTAAATAGGAAAAGTTTTTATAGTCTTCAACTTAAGATGCTCACTTCACTTTTACTTTTACCTGGATCACTACCTTAAATGATTATACTCTCTTTTAAAAAAAAATCCTTACCCAAGCATATGTTTATTTTTTTAAAAAATGATTTTAGAGTGAGAGGAAGGGAGAGAGAGAGAAACATCAATGTGAGAGAAACATCAATCGGTTGCCTCCCGTACATTTGCAACTGGGATCAAACTGCAACCTTAGGTATGTGCCCTGACTAGAAATCAAACCCACCATCCTCTGGTGTATGGGACCATGCTCCAGTCAACTGAGCCACCCAGCCAGGGCTACACTCTTTATTTTTAAGTGTAAGACTTCTACACTTCAAGTGTCACAACTATGATCTGACCTCCCTTAAAAAAATCTTCAGCCCGGCTGGTGTGGTTCAGTGGTTGAATGTGAACTCATGAACCTGGAGGTCACATGCCCTAGTTGGAGGCTGGATCCCCAGTAGGGGACATCAGGAGGCAGCCCATCAATGATTCTCTCTCACCATTGATGTTTCTATCTCTCTCTCCCTCTCCCTTCCTCTCTCTGAAGTCAATAAAAACATATTAAAAATATTTTAAAAAATCTTTATGGCCAATTAGTGAGTTTTGTAATGGCAGGAAATTTATAGATGTGGGAACCCTAAAACTAGAGAAGTTGAATGGCTTTCCAAATGGGAAAAAGCATACTAGGTACTAGCCTAGATAATTTAATTCTTAGTTCACTGTTCTTTTTACTCACTTATCTTTTACTTTTCAATAAATAGAAGAAGTGTGGAAATAAAGAGCCACAATAGATGTAAATGTATATAGATGCTGAGGTATTGCTAATCGGCTCATTGAAACCCAGGGAAATTATGAGCTGTGCAACCTTAGCGTTTAATCAAGTTCAACATGGTGTTATTCATTCTTGGGAAGAGAAAGGTTTACTTCTTTGGAAGTACAGAGTAACTTTCTCATTTCTACTTGCATCTTAACTTAAATGATTGCCATTAATAATACATAAACCCTAAAAAGTAAACTGCTTCATTAATTTTCCGCTAAAAGAACATAACCAGAAATATGCTATAAACCTAAGTACATTGGCACAAATATCTTAGATCAGGTTTAGAAGTGAAATTTACTTTGAAGATGAGTAGATTTTATGACATAACTAGAAATTCGTGCACGGGTAGGGTCCCTAGTGGCTGCAAACTGGGGCCTCCCTTCCCCTGGCTGCCTGCCACCTCTGCTGGCTGGGGTAGGGCCAGCTGGGGGGGAGGGGCTGCGGGCAGTTGGCCAGCCAGTCCCACCCCCTGGTTGAATTCCCAGTCGAACTCTCAGTCAAGGGGACAATTTGCATATTAGGCTTTTATTATATAGGATAATAGTTCCTTTCATTTTTTAAGCATTCCAAATAGTTTTCTCTCCCTTTTCACCCTTAACTCCCATTAAAAAGTGTGAGTTCTGGAGCCCCCAATTGCTTCATTTTTAAAATTTTTCTTTTGATTTTACTAACTCATTTTCACTGATAAAGAATTTGTTTTTGCTTTTGTTTAAAGGAAAAGTTAAAATTTACATTTCCACTTTAGCTCTATAGCCATCTTAAGATCTGGATCTGGTTATTCTGGTGACATAGAAGATATACTCATTACCTTGGAGAGGGCCAGGTATCATTTTTAAATAGTAGTTTCATCTCTCACTTCTGTGCCAATATTTACCAAGTTTTTATTGCAGCCCTGGGAGACTTCTAGTTCCGCATTCAAAAGATGAGCGGTCTATTGGCATCTCAGTGATCATGTCTCAGAGGGGCCTTAGGTTTCTCCAAGTCAGAACAATTTCCTCCTTTCCTTTTTAAAAGATATTTTGTAGGTAGCCCTGGAATACCCTCCTCATGTCTTTTCACAGTTTCGAGTTATTTAGAGATGCATCTAATAAAAGAAAACACACAGTATAACCCATCTCCACCATTTAAAACATTGAAAGTCAAGAATCATTCCACTGAATTACACCAGTTAGTTAACAGTTGCCATGTGTATTTATGTATGTGTATGTGAACTGTGGGAAGAGCTCTTTAAAAACTCGGTTGTTGGCTAACTAAGGTAGATGCGTTAGCTGCCCCGGAGAACCATGCAATGGAAGCAGATGCCACGTGCTGGCTCTGGAGGTGCCTCTCACTTGCGACCACATTGCTAACTCTGACCCGTCTCACATGGACATTCTGGAGGCACCACTGTGGGCAGAGCCACAGTTGACAAGAATAAGGTCTGATAAAAAACAAAAACACACAAAAAAAACCCAGGAGATTGGAGGCAAATAAAAATGCTATTGGGTTTTTTTTTTTAAATGGTACTTAAAATTCCTGGGAAGCATCTACTTTCAAAACAAGCCAGACTCCTTGACTTTAAAATCTGCTTCTGAATCACCTTTCTCAGTTGTTGAGAAAATATTATTTCTAAGTGTGAGCCGCTGAGACAGATTCACTCATGGGCATAACAATAATGTATCTCCGTTCAAGTTTGTGACCAGCCTTTACTGCTCTGGTCTGTAATGCCGTTAGCACTTACCTTCTCCTTTTTGTTTCCTTGTCTCAGATCTCCGCAAAATGATTTGTGTGAATGCCGGGTACATAAAAGAATTATGACATTGTTTGACGAGATCTTTGTTCCTTTTATTCACTGATGTACTACATTTACCTAAAATATAGTAGTTGCTCAATAAATATTTGTTGACTGAATGAATGGTGATTTTTCCTGAGCTTGGAGCTGAACAACATCTGTAAGTGTATGGTGGAGAGTTACAGGGAACCGAGGAGCCATGAATGCGGTCCTGTTGTTTTGCTTAAAGGGTGTATCAGTTTCTTAGCGTTGCCACAGCAAATTACCACAAATAGGGTGGCTTAAAACAATAAATTTATTTTCTCACAGTTCTGGAGGCTAAGGTCTGATCAAGATGTTGGCAGGGCCATGCTTCCACCGAAGGCTGTAGGGCAGACTCTCTCCTTGCTTCTTCTAGCTTGTGGTGGTTGCCGGCCAACCGTGTCCCTTGGTAATATAAACTCTGGTCTCTGCCTCTGTCTTCACATGGCCATCTTTCCCTCTTTTTATAAGAACACCAGTCACTGGAAAAGGGCCCACCCTAATCGGATGAGACCTCATTTTAATTTGATTATATCTGCAAAGACCCTGTTTCCAAATAAGGTCCTGGAAGGACACACATTTTTGCAGGGATGTTATTCAACTCAGCACAAGAGGGTTGCATAGAATGTCAAATACGAGATAATCTCAGATTTTAAACTGTTGGTATAAAGTTTAGGGTTGCCCCTTGTAGTACTCACAATGTTAATGTGTCTGGGATGATACCAGCCTAACTTCAGAGGGGAATTTTCTGGAGGGCAGAGATCAGGCCTATGTGGTTCACTACAGTATGCCCAGGGCCAAGCACAATTTCTTAATAATTACAATGTTAACAACATGTTGTTAAGTACTCTATTACTCTGTCTGTATTATCTCAATCACATAGTAAGTGCTCAATAAATATTTATAGATTGGATACTCTTGGGGAGAACTGAATATATGCATGAATCAAGCTTTTATTTCTGGTATCCTAGAAGAAATAAAATAATACTCGCTGAAGATAATGTAACTTCTTCCATTGAGAAATTCTCTCCTTTGATTTGGGGACTGATACTGTGGTAGATATCATTAGGACCTATGTTGAAGGATGTTGACTATCTGCTCTCTTATGTGAGAGCAGTTTATTTTTATTCTTCTGGTTCAAGGATACTGTGCTGAGCTGGACAGCCATGATCCTTGCCTTCTAGAAACTTCTCTCTGGAATTAGATGGCATCACAGCAAATGCTCAACTCCATCAGGACAGTAACATATCAGGGTCAACACTAAGAAATGAAGTACCATTTGTCCTCCTCCACTGGATTTGTCTTTCATACTGGAAGACTGGAAACTCTTATCTAACAGTACCTAATTTCTCTCTCTTTAGGACCACTGAAGCCAGAAATAACTGTCTCCTACATTGCTGTTGCAACTATATTCTTTAACAGTGGACTATCATTAAAAACAGAGGTACTGTCACCTATGGGGCACATGAAAAGCAGGGAGAAAAATTCAGTTTGTACTTAATATTTTAAATTTTCAGATCCTTTTGTAAAGCTGTGTGTAGCTGTAGTCTGACAGCTCCACTATAACAGAAGGTAACTTGGACTTCAGCACTGGACTTGTGTTTTGTACGTACGTATTCCACAGACCTTATAGTCAAGCAGCATGGAACCTGAAGGTGTGGCTATAATGAGTGTGTTTTTAATATGGCAGCTGAAGTGATGCATCTCCTTCAGGTCTTCCTCAGATTATGGTGGTAACTATCATGGTGCCTACTGTGGCCCCTTTAAGCTGTAGATGTTTATTTGGGCTTCCATAACTTCGTGGATCATCTTTTGTTCCTAGGACTGAGGCTGTACAAGTGATGCTTGTTAAAACTTTTTAACTAATTTGTATTTTTACAGATGTATATTCTTTGCTAGTGCTGTATAGTTATTAAATGTTAATAGATGTCTTGAGGAAATATTTGTACTTTTTCATACTAAATCTCACTTTATCATGAAGACATACAGGTAATGTTATTTATTGATCCAGGTGTCACTGAATATGGGATTTCTTGGAATTAAATATCCAGACATTTTTATACCTGAGATAGGAATGAGTAGAATATATGATTCCCTTTTGACTTATAATGGAGAAAAAATAAACACCCATTTGCTTTTGAAGAAATTACATAGAGTTTTAAAAGTCATCATTCTAAGCTGCTTAGTCTTACATAGACAGGTTAATTTTACTATGTAAGAAGGATTTTTTTTTTTTAAGGAAATGATTTTAAAACATACAATTCTTTTGTGCATCATATCTTGTCTTTACTTCAAGTATCTTTCTTTTAAGTGTGATTTGAATAAAGATCAAATTTACTTACCTCTTTTTTGATCGTCCTAGTAGCAACATAGAAAAAAAAATATGGTTACTAAATTTAGGTATTCTGTAGTTAGCAGGTTGGTATAAATCTTTCCATTGGGGTCATTTGGGATATAGATGGGATCCATGTGTAGTGTCTATGACAGATGAAGTGTGTCTCAAGAATGCTAAATATCCTCACTGATTACTGGTCTTCTGAAAATAGCTGACATGGATGGGATTTCCTAAATATGTCAAATTCCAGTTTTTGTAAATTATATTGATAAGAAAGGACTGTGATTAGTACTTAAAGGGTATAGGCATTACCTGTCAACACCAGCGTTCTATTGGTCCTCAAATGGGGAACAGAATTTACCACTGCTGTGCTGCTGGTCTAATCTTCCTTGGAGGCCTTCGCCCAAGTCCTCTACTTGGGAGGTTGCTCTAACTACGCCCCCTGGTGGCTTCTTAATGGCTACAACTGTTGCTTATGCCATGGGAAATCTGGCAAGAGACTTGATTTCTCTCCTTAGCTTCTTGCTTAATGCTGTTCTGTAAAGCAGCCAACTTTGTGGGATGCAGAAATTGAAGAAGGAATGTCACAGTTATCAGCACTTCTCTAAGGACCAAATTCTTCTGTAAGCACCTAGGAAACCTTCAGAGTCATCCAACTAATTTGGATCTAATGATGAGATGCCTGGATCCCTGGCCTTTCTTATGTATCTAAGAAGCCATCAGAACCATTTCCTCCACAAAAGACCCTTTTGAAATGAATACAACATTAAGTCATTTTCAAGATCCATTTAACTTAAGATGGCCTAGATTGCATCTTTGTGTAATGTTAAGCCATCTCTAAGCCCTGCTAATTTCTTGGGCAATAGAATCATGCATTTTTGCACACAGAAGATGGCGAGTTATTATTGACTTGAATTTATTTGAAAGCATTTATTGTGGTCCCATTCGAGTTTGATTCATATTGAACATTACTCACACATTGATGTAATGATGTGTATTCTAAAGTTTGTTTTGCTCATTTATTAAAATTATAAAGAGCTGTGTTAACACTTCATGCTAAAAAGATTTAATGCTAAATCTTCAGTTTTTTTAACTGTTGATTTCTAGTTTTTGAAATATGTGTTGAAATGGTTTCTGAAATATTATTATACTGAAATGTAATAATGTCACCTTTGAGATTTATTTTATATATCGCTAACTTCAAACCTGCAGTTTCAGAGGATTTGTCACTTAACAGACCATGGCAGGACCAATTTATTTAAACAAATAACCTATCAAGTGCCTATCACTACAACACACCATGCTTGGCACAGGGATAGAAACAAAGATGAGCAGGATTTTAAGGTGTTACTTGCTTTTCCTTTTCCAGTGTTACCTTATTTTCTCTTTACTGTTGTATGACGATCTAGAAAACCTATAATACTAGGTTTTTGTGACAGTCTTGAAAATCTTTCTTAGGAAACACTTCATGTCTGTTATTTCCCTGTTGTTAAGAGGCCCCTTATGACCCAACACGGTAGGCTCTTGTGATTCATTTTGATGAGTTCTTACTGATCCATTATTCTGATGTGATATCAATTGTTTCTAATTGTCATTTATTAGGTCGTGCAGTAGTCTCTAACTGCATTTTATTTTTCATAACTCTTTTCTGATTATAGAAGTGGTATTTCCCTATTGTAGAAAGATTAGAAAGAGTAAAAATAACTGTTCTAACATTTGTGTGCTTTTGTACTTTTTTTCTTAAACATATTTTACATATAGAATGTTTTAAAAATAAAATATTTTTTTAAAATTATATATATGTATATAGGTATACGCAATTTTTCATGTAATTTAATACTGTTATTTAATTTTTCTTCACTTATACATTGAAAAATAAAATAATTTACATTTTGTTTACTTTTATGTACATAAATCAAAAGGTACAAAAGTATATATGATGAAAGTCGTCCTTACACCCCTTTACCAGCTATCTATCCATTTCTCTTCTCTGGAGATAACAGTTTCTGTGTGTCTTTCCAGAGATATTCTATGCAAAACATACATATCTGTATCCATCCCTTTAAACTGTTATTTTATGCTGTTTGCCACCTTAGCTTATTTAACTCAGAAACATATCTTGGAGATTATTTTATTTTATATTAACATATAAAGAACTCCTTGTTTCTTTGTGTATGCTGAAAAGTATTCTATTTTATGAATGTGTCACATTACATTTTCCTGGTCCCCTACTGATGGACATTTAGGTAATTACCATGTTTTGCTGTTATAAACACTCTGCAAAGGACACTAAAAACATGTCATTTCCCACATTTTGGAGTATAGGTGAAGGGCTAATTCCTAGAAGTGGAATTTATAGGTCAAAATGATATATGCAGTTTAAGTTGTGATAGATTCTCCAAGTACCTAGAATGGTGGCAGGTGCTCAGTAAGTATTTGTTGAATGAAGAAATGAGTTGCCAGATTGCTGTCCACAGGTTGTGCCAGTTTATATGCTGATCAAGTAGGGAGAGACCCTCTGCTCTTACATGCTTGTATATAGTTTTAACATGGTTTAGAATAGCTCTTAACACTGTTTAATTCTTACCTTATATGGTTATTCTTCCATTGTTGGACATTTAAGTTGTTTCCAGATTTTACCATAATGGATAATGCTGTGAGGATCAATTCTGTGTATTAATGCTCGTAACCATTTTTTATATTGTTGGGATAAACGCGTAGATATAAAATTTTGGGATCTAAGAATATAAATTGTATTATAGTCCCTGATATATATCCCCAATTTACTTTTTAGAAAAGTTACACTATTTTATATTTCTATGAGAAGTATATGCAAATGCCTTAATTACTGCATTGTGGCTAATCATTTTATTACAATTCAAACAATTGAAAACACTCATATGTATTTGGTATTTATTGAATGCTTCTGAGTATATCTGTGTGAGATTTGGTTTCAAGACTGCTGAGGATTCTGGGTACTGCTGGTGCTCAGGTGTCTCTGGGGTGAAACTTCTGATTCAGAGCAAGAACGGCTCCTTTTCTCTTTGCTCTGATCCAGACCTGGTATGGCTTCCGGTCTGTCTAGTGTTTCCCTACATTATTCCGGATTGCCGTCAGTTCCTTAAATACCATTAAGGACATCTTGTGGCCAAAATGGAACTGCTGTGTGTCTTCACACAGGGAAATAAATAGGGGGCCTCTGAGACAGATCCTAGAGGTGATGGTCAGTGGATGAGTTTGCCCTGACCTACTGTTTATTAAACGATAAACTCCAGCTCATGCCTCTGAGGCTGAGGCTCTTTTGAAAGTCTTGCTTGGACTGGGGGTTGTGGGGACATTATTATTACAGTGACTCTCTGGCAACTTTGAATGCGCTTTAATGAGTGCCCGAATGTTATATGTCAGTTTTCTACTACTTTCTGAATGTGTTTTATTTCCACCGAAAAACCACGCAACTCAAAGAAATTCAAATGCAAACACTTGTTAGTATATATTTAAACCCTCAAATTTAACTGAGTACCTTTTAGTTGTGAGACTCATAACATATGCCTGGCTTGTCCTGTTTGCTGGGAATTTTCTCCCTCCCTGGCAGTAGGATGACACAGGCACAGGTTTATTGGGTTTGATTCCGAGCTTCACTGTGTAGTAGCTCTCAACCTCAAGTTCCTCATCAGTAAAACAGGAAAAATAACATCCTCCTAATGGTGTTGATGTGAGGATTAAATGAGATGACATACATAGAGTGGCAAGCTCAGAGAATGGCATATAACTACTATTCAGTAAATGTTAACAAAGAAATTGAGTGAGTCAATTTTGTGGAAACAGCTGTTTTTAATTATAGAATGTTGTTGGGGGAACATTTTTTTTCTTTTTCTTTTTTATGGGGGGAACATTTTTAAAAATTATGATCTGTGTGTAGATTTAGTAACATCTTGCCAAATTGAGGCCTTTCTAGGTCTGATATAATGACCAGAGGTTAATTATCATATAAAACTGTGATAGGTTCTACTAAAATTTTAAATAAGATTTATTTTTTTTCAATGTTTAAACATACATGTTTGTTACAGTGTTAACAGCTCTCAAATGTACCAGTAGTTAGCTTAGTCCTGGTCCAGAATTTTACAAATCTGAATTATTGTGATATATTGTATATTAGAAAGCAATTAGAATATTTCAGAAATTTTATATAAAAATTATAATCTTCATGAATAACTTCATAACCATCATCAACTTTTTTCTTAAAGTTTGTCTCTTATGCAATAACTTTTCTCTTAAAATTTGTCTCTTAATACTTATGCATAATTCATAAGCATAGCTAAAAAAAACTTAGCTATGAAATAACTCCAAATTGATGTATGTAGCCAGACTTATTGTGCTGATCAATTTACAATATATATAAATATTGAATCATCATGTTATACACCTGAAAGTAATATAATGTTATATATCAATTATATCTCAATTAAAAAAACAATTTATGTTATGTTATTTTAGTACCAACCTATCTTCAGAAATAGTTTTCTTAATTTTTTTATCTTGTGTCCTTTTTTGCAGGAGCTGACCAGTGCTTTGGTGCATATACGACTGCATCTTTTCATTCAGATCTTTACGCTTGCATTCTTCCCAGCAGCAATATGGCTTTTTCTTCAGCTTTTATCAATCACACCGATCAATGAATGGCTTTTGAAAGGGTATGTTTAAATATTTTGAAGAGTTACTTTTTAATTAATTAATTAATTTTTAAATTGTTGACACTATTACAGATGCCTTCCCCCCATGTTTGCCTCTGTCCACCCAGCCCCACTCTTCTGCCTTCACTACATTGTTGTCTGTGTTCATGGGCTATGCATATATGTTCTTGGAGGGTCCACTTTTAATGGGACATCTCTAGTGACATTATTTCCATAGCAACTTATGTGTGATATCTTATAAGAAAATAAAAACACTTTTAACATTATTATTATCCTTCATCTTAAGGTTTTAGGAATTTAAAAGAGTTGTGGGAATTTAAAAGAGTTGTGTTTCTGGGAATTTAAAAGAGTTGTGTTGGGAGAAAACTGGAAGGGACTAGAGCAGGGGTCCTCAAACTACGGCCCGTGGGCCACATGCAAATACAAATATTGTATTTGTTCCCGTTTTGTTTTTTTACTTTAAAATAAGATATGTGCAGTGGGCATAGGAATTTATTCATAGTTTTTTTTTAAAACTATAGTCCGGCCCTCCAACGGTCTGAGGGACAGTGAACTGGCCCCCTGTTTAAAAAGTTTGAGGACCCCTGGACTAGAGGATGTAAGATCTGTATGTATGAATAAAGATAGGCTGTCAATTGGTGCTTTAACTTTTGTGATTTATCTTACCAAATGTACAGAGATAATGGCTTTAAAAATATATAGAAAAGAAAAAGCATATACAGGGGACAAACATTTATTTTTTCACCTGTTCTATTTTATGTTTGATTGGGTAGTTGATTTAACAGTAGATTTTTATTAGAATCTTTTCTTCCATTAACAATATTGTCATGTTTATTTAAGGACTTGATGATTTAAAAAAAATTATTTGAATTGGTATAGAACTGACCTTATGTTAGCATCCTGTATAATAAAGAGCTAATATGCAAATGGTTGTCATGCCCTCACGCTGGGGCTGGGGGACCTGAGGCCGGGCTGGGGGACCTGAGGCTGTGTCGGGGGACCTGAGGCCGCGCCCCCAACCTGGCGCCAGGCCGAGGGACCTGAGGCTGCACCCCCCGCCCGGTGGGGTTTGAGGGGGGTGGGGTCGGCTGGGTCTGGGTCTCGTGTGATTTCAAGGCGCATGTGGGTGGGCGGAGACTTGACTCTGGGTCCTGCGACGTGCCCCAGACTCTCATATACATTTTACTAATTTTCTTTCATCTCTGACACTTCTATTATAGCAAAAGGGCAAATAGCAATATTCAAATATTTCCTCTAAGTAATTCCCTTTTAATGTGCATGAATTTCATGCACCAGGCCACTAGTCATGGTATAATAGCTAAAACACTGAACTTAGGCCGAAGATTGCATTCTGACTCTGTCCCTAACTTGCTAGGTGACTTTGAGGCATTTAATAGTTTTGAACCTCAGTTTCCCAGTTCATAAAATGAAGATAATTATGCTTTTACTGCCTGCTTTAACAGCGATATCAGGGAAATCACTTATTTAGCTCCTGCTATGTACCAGGAATTATTATAAGTATTGGAAAACCAACACTGAACAAAATGGGCCAGGAGTGAGTTTTGCACATTGAAGAGACTTTGGATGTGATTGTCAGTAAACAAGTAAATAGATGATTAAGATAGAAGTAAGTGATGCAAAGTAAAGCACTATGATATCCTTAAGTGGTTGGGTGCACAGGCTGGTGATTAATTTAGATTGTAGAGTTCATGGGGCAGAGTGTTCTAGGCAAAGGAAACAGAATGTTCAAAGGCTCCAAGGCAGGAATAACCCTGGTGCATTTGAGGGTCAGGAAAGCAGCCATGGTGGCCAGAGCCTGCTGACATGGAGGAGGAATACTATGACTTGGGGTTGGAAAGGTGGGCAGAAACCAGTCACTCAGCATTGTGGGCCATGGTAATGCATTCAGAGTTTATTCTGAGCAGTACAGAAAACCACCAGAGGGAATTAAATGAGAAAGTGGAGTTGTCTGATTTATATTTGCAAGTGATTCTCCTGGCTAATCTGTGGAAAATAATAGATAATAGAAGGGCCTGAGAGAAATCTAGGAGACAAGCTGGGAGGCTAGCATGTATAGCAGCACAGTAGGGAGAAATTGATGTGTAAAGGATATATTTTAAAATTGGAGTTCTCAGAACCCATGGATGGATAGGATATGGAGAGAGGAGGACAGGAAGGAATCAAGGATGACTTCTGGATTTTGGGTATGAGCCACTGGGTAATTGGTGATATCCTTTACTTAGCTGGAGAGAAGTAGAACGAGAGGGGAAAATCAAGAGGGCTGTTTTGGCCAGATTGAGTTTGAGAGAGTGAACATAAAATTTTGCTGAAAAGCATAAAATGTCACAGAAATATAATGACATCATTTTAGAACAACAATGTATGAGGTGGGCAAAAGTAGGTTTGCAGTTGTCATACAAATAAATAACACAATAATTAATAAATAATAATACAACAGTAAGCTCTGTTTCACATACTCATAACTGAAAACCTACTTTTGCCCACCTCTGTATAATGCATATTAAGAACCAATAGATATCAAGTATCTGCACTCAAGAAATAGGAAGATATTAACTCAGTTTGCTTGTATTAAAGGAACTTCCAATTTAGTTCATGTGTGTGTGTGTGTGTGTGTGTGTGTGTGTGTATATATATATAGCCTATCTAATAATAGACAAACATGGTAATTGACCATACCTTTGCTACGCTTCCCATGGGCTAATCAGCATGATATGCAAATTAACCACCAACAAAGATGGCGGCTAATTTGCATACTGCAGGCAGGGCGGGACAGCGTCATCCAGCCTGCCCTGCTGCCATCCGGGCCTGCTATCTGCGACCTGGGGTGGCGGGGCAGGCACCGAGGGATTGGGCCTGCCATCTGCCATCCAGGAAGTGGGCCTAAGCCAGCAGGTGGTTATCTCCTGAGGGGTCCCAGACTGTGAGAGGGCACAAGTGGGACTGAGGGACACCCCCCATGCCCCCTCTCCTGCCAGTGCACAAATTTTTGTGCACCGGGCCTCTAGTATATATATAAAATAGTGAACAACCTAATGGGGCAGCATATGATTTGTCAGATGAGTGGTGTAATCAGTTAAAGGATAAGAGGTTTAGCAAGGGTTGTGTACTCCTAAAGCAGAGATTTCAAATATGAGACATTAGTGGAGGAAAGATTAAAAGCTTCTTTACTTCCTCCTCTCCAATTTGGATGCCTTTTATTTCTTCTTCTTGTCAGATCGCTGTGACTAGGACTTCCAGCACTATGTTAATAAGAGTGGTGAAAGGACATCCCTGTCTCATTTCTGATCCTAAGGGAAACAGTTTTAGTTTTTTGCCCATTGAGTATGATGTTGGCTATAGGTTGGTAATGTATACCCTTTACTGCTGTTTGGCCCAACGATCCCACTTCTGGGAATATATCCTAAGAATCTTGAAACACCAATCAGAAAGAATATATGCATCATGAGATGAAAGTTTTGAGAATTGCTGTTTTGTAGAAAGGAATAAACACATGTAAGCTTGTGTTTTGTTAAATATTTTTGAACTTTGGAAGTGGTTTTAAAGTTTTATTTTTCCCTAAAGACTTTCTACCAAAAACATGTAAGGAAAAGATACCTGAAATAAGACTCAGGCTAAATTATATACATTTTGGTTATCTTTCAATGACTACACTTACTCTAACTTGAATGTTTTTTTTTTTTAAATTATATAATAAAAGCTTAAATAATTTAAAAAATAAAGTCACCTAAAATTATGAATGGAATGAGAGCTTCCTCAGGCATTTGCAGCATCTTCTAAGCCATATTGCCTCACGTAGAATTGTCTGAACTCAACAGGGCATGTGCATCAATAATCACTCTTCTATTTTCATTTACACAGCTCTGCAATTTTAGAATGAATGTAGTGACACTATTTGTGATTGAAAAATACTATTTATAATTGTACTTTCTTTTATTTTTCAGTTTGCAGACTGTGGGTTGCATGCCTCCCCCTGTGTCTTCTGCAGTGATTTTAACCAAGGCAGTCGGTGGAAATGAGGTGAGTCAAGGGGCTAATTGTTTAAACAGAAACGGGTGCTGTGCTTTTATGTTTATATTCTATTTTATGACATAGGAGTCATGTAGCAGAAAACATATAACCATAGCAGCTTATGAAAGAAGCAAGTTATTTATGTATTAGGATGATGTTGAAATTGATGACAGTGAGTTGAATTTGGGATTTCAAAGGAGGTGAATGAAATGGGGTTGGTGATTTCTCTACCTCAGTGGGAAATTGGGAGACAGAGGACAAGGAATTCAAGAAAAGGGACTTTTCATCCAAGACTCACAAACTGAGGACACCTGCTATGGCCATTTCTCTACCTCAGTGGGAAATTGGGAGACAGAGGACAAGGAATTCAAGAAAAGGGACTTTTCATCCAAGACTCACAAACTGAGGACACCTGCTATGGCCATTCCTTAATTCTTTAAAAAATTGTAAGAAATTAAATTTGTGGGAAAGGGGTCAGTATAAGTCTAATGACTAGTGACGATGATGTACAAAGGAAAAATGAGGTCAGCCCAGCTGGTGTGGCTCAGTGGTTGAGGGTTGACCCATATACCAAGAGGTCACTGGTTTGATTCCTAGTCAGGGCACATAGGGGTAATCTAACCTGGGGATAGAGCCCAGGTTTCAGGCTCTATCCTTAGTAGGGAGCATGCAGGAGGCAGCCAATCGATGTTTCTCATTAATGTTTCTATCTCTCTATCCCTCTCTTCTTCTCTCTTTAAAATCAATAACATATTTTTTTTTAAAAAGGAAATGAGGCCAGATTTCTAAGATAAGTTTAAAAACATTATCCAGCTGCTAGCGGACTGTGACATAAGAAGAGTGCTTGTGTTTTGGGATAGCAGTTATTCATTTAAAGAACTACTTGTAAGTGGCTCTTCTGAATTGAAAGGCCTTACAACTTTGTACTGAGGGACTTTGCTTTGTAGTAGCTTATTCCCCCTTTTCCACTTATAGTCCATCATTTAGAAAATAATACTATTGAACAAGGGACGATATAAGGGGTTGCCACTTCAGTCATCCTTAGGAGTTTGCTTTCTTAGCATCTATTTTCATTTTCATCCATTTTATTAATTGCAAAAATATTTCTTGATCACATGCTATATTCTTTTTAAAAACAGGGTTATTGAAATATTATTGACATACAATAAACTGCACAAATTTAAGCAATTTAATGTTTTGGCATATGTATATATCTGTGAAATTACTACAATGAAGATAGTGAATATGTCCATTACCGTCAAAAGTTTCCTTGTACCCTTTGGTAATCCTTCCCTCCTGTTCTTCTTAGCACCCCCTTCCCCTAGCAACCACTGATCTGTTTTCTGTCACTGTGCATTAGTTTGCATTTTCCAGAGTTTTAAATAATGGATCATGCAGTGTATACTCTTTTTTTCCCCTGTCTTTTTTACTCGGAATACTTATTTTAAGTTTCATCTATATTGTGTGTATCAATAATTCATTCCTTTTTATTGCTGCGATGTATTATTTTGTATGGATGTGCCACAATTTGTTTATCTGTTCACTTGTTGATGGACATTCAGGTAGTTTTCATGCTGGGGCTGTGGACATTTGTGTACAGATCTTTACATGGACATAAACTTTCAATTCTCTCGGGAATACTTAGCAGTAGAATGGCTGGATCATCTAGTAGGTATATATATGTTTTAGTGCATTTTAACCAAGGGAGGAATCACCAATAAATAGTTATAAATCACCTATAAATAGCTTTTTAATTGAACCGTTTCTTTTATTAGTAAATATGCAGGCACACTCCTTTTTACCACAGGTGCATGTTTACCTTTTTAAGAAATTGCCAAAGTATTTTCAAAAGGGGTTGTACCATTTTACATTTCAAGCAGCCGTGTAAGAGTTCCCAGTGCTCCACATCTCAGCAATGCTTGGTATTGTCAGTCTTTAATTTCAGCCATTCTGATATGTGTGGAGTGGTATCTCATTGGGGCTTTAATTTGCATGTTCTAGTGACTAGTGATGGTAAGTGGTATTATCTTTCCATGGCTTACTTACTATCCATGTCTTTTTTAGTAAAATGTTTATTAAATCTTTTGCTTTTTTAAAATTGGGTATTTCACTTTCTTATTGACGAGATTTGAGAGTTTTATATATTCTGGATCCAATTCCCCCTCCATCCACTGAGCCAAACTGGCTAGGCCCCCCCCTCATTAGATATATGCTTTGTAAAAATTTCCTCCCAGTGTGTGGTTTGTTTTTTCAATTTCTTACTAGAGTCTTGAAGTGCAGGATGATAGTGGAGGCACTGAAATGAGGTTGGATGCCATATGCATTTTGAAGGCACAGGATATGCTTATGAATTGGATGTGGAATGTGAGAGAAAGACAGGTGTCAAGAATGACCTCAAGGTTTTTGACTGAGCAGCTGAAAGGATGGAGTTGGAGATGAGTACTTGTGAGAGCAGGTTTGGGAGGTATCAGTCTGGTAATAACTAAGAATGCCAAAATCTCAATGGCTACATGTATAGGTTTATTTCTTATTCATAGTACATGTCCCATGTTGGTCAATTGGAAGGTCTTTCCTGTCATTAAGGAAGCCTGGTTAATGGAGGCCCCATTTGTATGGAACACAGAGCATTTACAGTTGCCACAGCAGGGAAAGAGAGATTGGAGAGTTACCAATGGGCTTTTCACTGTCCAGGCTGGAAGGGGTACATGGCTCTTCTGCTCACATTAAATTGGCCAGAACAAGTCGTATAGCTTCACCATGTGTTGTCATTGATGTGCCCTGAATGAGAAGAGAACTGGATGTTGGTGAACACTCGTAATGTCATCCATGTGGGTAAAGATCAAGAGTTTATGTTTTTGTTGTATTAAGATACCTATTACATACCCAAATGAAAATGTCAGTAAGCAATTAGAGATACAGAGTTGAGAGTTCAGGTCTAAACTGGAGATATAAATTAGGGAGTCATCAGTGAGTAAATGGTATTTCAAGCCAAGGTTGGAGGAGATCACCTGGGGAGAGAGCATAATTAGAAAAGAAGCAGGTTCAAGGGCTCAGCTGTGGGACCCTCCATCATTAAGAGGTCATGACAGTGAGGATTAACCAGCAAAGGCAACATAGAAAACATAATTAGTGAAATGTAAAGAAAAACAAGAAATCATGGTATCTTGAAACCAGATGATGAAAGTGTTTGAAGGAAGAGGGTATGATCAGCTATGTCAAATTCTGCTGATTAAGTGGTATAAGGTGAATTCTGAGAATTGACCCTTGAATTACGCTACATAGAGGTTACTGGTAACCTTGGCCAGAGTGGTTTCAGCAGGATATAGGGGCAAATGCTTGTTTGGAGTAGGTTCAAGGGAAAACAGGAAGAGGGAAGAGAGGAATTAGAGATAAGAGTATAGACATCCTTTTGAGGTCCTTTGTGATAAAGGGAACAGAGAACTGAGGCTGTATTTAGATGGGATGTGTGATTAAGATTTTTAAGTACAGAAATGACGGCATGTTTCTGTCATGTTGGGAACTGTACAGTAGAGAGGGAGTTGGATGACTTTTATTTTTTCTCAGCAGCTGAGAGTCATGACAGGGTAAGTGCTATGAACGTTTGAGTTGAGAGGAGAAACGTGCCATTGCCGCCATGCTGAGGAGAGTGGGTTAGCTGGAGGGTAGGGTAGCATTGCAGGCAGCACTGAGGACCCAGCTGAGATTTAGTCATTCATTTAAAGGGAAGCCAGGCATCATGGTTGTGTGTTTTTTCTTAGCCCTATTTAGCTTTTTGGCATAGGAATAGAATTGGCAGATAGTTGGAAACCCGGCGTTTCATTATTCCAGCTAATTCTTTCACCTAATAATTAGTGAGATAGAGGGGTTATAGGTCAGACTGATTCTTGCTTTGATTTTCTATCACCTTGAAATAATTTGAGGAAAGGGTTTCTTTTGGAATATCAGAGACTGGTGTTAAGGGTTTAAAGGTGTCATTTATCTCTTTCATTCTAATGTGATTCCCTTAAGAGCTATATGGCCAAAAAACCTTTTTGTTCTCAAATTACTTTTGGCAGAAGTTCAAAGTTCACTCATTTTCTTGTCATTAATAGATAGCATTAAAAAGTGTATTTACATGTTCATTCCTTAGTAGATATTTAACTTGTTTACATTAATGTATGCTAATAAGGTTGAGTTTACAAACATTTCCTTTGTTTTCTGATATCATTGGTCTAATTCTTTAAATGTGTGTACGGTGAGTCTTCATGACTATCAAGCATTGGGGACTAAGATGCAATTTTTCACAAATACTGAAAATTGAACTTCAGAAATGAAGCTTGTAAAGTCCAGTCTGGCCGTATCTTCCGATATGAAATGAATAGACTTTCTTATACTTATGTCAGATTATGGAAGGAAATGATCAGCAAGTAAAAATAGTAGATCATTTTAAGTTTAATGTTTTTCTAAAGTAATGTTATAAAGTAACTGAATATAAGCTCTTGCTGAAATAAATTTAAGGGAAGATTAACCTAGTCTACGGATGAAAAGTGAATTTATTGGTGCATGTGAATGAAAAGGTCCAAATGCTGAATTCAGTGTCAGGTGCCATTGGGTGACGGTTCTGAGTCTACATCTCTGTGATTTACTGTTCTGTCTCCATGCAGCAGCTTTGTTCCCACGAGGGTTTCAACATAGTAGGAAAATTGCTGGGGTGCATTTCCATGTCCTTTCAAACTGATTAGTCTTTGCAGTATTTATGGCACGTAAGAAACCTTTTTTTTTTAAATTGCACTTTGTGTTAAAAAACTTCTTAACATTTAGTTTATGCTCTCATATATTTACATATACATCTTTAGTATATATACATGTTTAGTATATGTCCTCATGTATACAAGAACATCTGCGATTATGTAGCATATTTGTACTTTAATGATTTGGGGGGATGTGTTCAGACATAATAGTGTCATTTGAAATGATTCTCTTGGTTTTATTTTGCAAAATTGTTATATAATTTAGGAAGAGATTTTTTT